TGGCATTGATGAGTGGTGACCACATTGATGACTTGGAGACTATCTGCAGGGGTAGCACTGATTCACGGGAAGGCATATTGATGAGTTGGCAAGATATTGGTGTTGCGCTGATGAGCGCTGGACTCAGGGAAACTTTGAAACACTTTGTATTCATATTTTTGATAATATAAGCTGTGAAACTCKGTTCTCATCTTCTCTACCTTTGTCTATTATCAGACTACTGTTCGTTGTGTGTGGGAGAACGATGCATGGCATGTACACACTTGCGTGAGATGGTCTCCAGGACCCATGCAGGGTAGGGCCCTCTCCCTATTATTATTGCCTATAATCTTCAGCACTGGCCATGGGCAATAGTAAATAGTACGCTCGCACCGTCGCCACATCTTCCTACATATGTCCTTGGACTGTTTGCAGAGACCATTCAAACGTTCGAACATCCCTACCTACTGGTCACCGGGTCCCCTTCCTAAAACTTTGAAACTTTGATTTCATTGCTTGTCGTGATTTTATTTACTCAAATTCCGATGGACTCTCAAGATCTTTTCCTGATACTGCATAGCAATCTGCCAACTTCGGCTCCTCCTCCAGGATCTCGGCCGGGTCGGATCCCTCTCCATCCTATTCACTACCGTCTTCACCCGAATAGAACGCCCGGTCATTATAGCTGTATTTGGCACAACTTTCGGTCCAGATGCAGTGATAATGACCGGGGGTTCTATTCGGATGAAGACGGTAGGTAGGAGCCGAGGAGGGTGTCGCTGGATTTCATGGTATGGATACCCGATAAGGCGATGCAATCGTCGAGAATGGCGAAGAAAACAGGCGCGAGGATGCACAAAACCCACCTCTTTTTCAGCGCTTTTCTTGGCGCGCGGCCAGCTTCGGCAACTGCAGTGGCATGACTGACCGATCCACCGTCTGCCAAATCAACATGGCCTATGCCAGGCAGCTGCTCAGAGCCACATACATCGCCTTGACTCTCGTGCAGGTGATTCAGAGAGTCCATAGATGTCGATCTCTGCACGGCTGGGTCATTCCCACCAGCTTCCCTGTCAGATGCCCATATTTGGGGGCGATTGAGCAATGCCAGAGGTGCATCAACCGCCGTCAAGGCTGGCACCTTCGCTTCCCTTGCTGATGTGTTGATGGCATCTGCATCCATGTTGTCAGTGCGGCGGCGACAGCCATCACCGGTATCTTGGGGCTCCACCTGGCTATGAGGTGTCGCAAATAAAGACATCACCGCCGTCGGAAGAGCACTCCCCATACTTGTCCACAGGTGCCGGGATGCCCATGGCACAAGTAAGACCATCTGCAACATCCAAAAAGTCGATAAAGCCCAACGTATTCCCTCCCCAAGAAAATGCTGGAACCCAGATATAAAATGTGAACAACAATAAAAGACCAACAAAATGCATTCAGCCAAACGGCAAGCACTTCAGTACAGATGCTTCGATGATATAGAAATCAGATGTTACTTAAATCATCAAACCTTCAACAACGTTTAAAATTCTCTAAATACTAGTAAATAGTAAATTTCAATTTGTTTTTTAATAGAAAAAAATAGGCCCTTATGCTAGGCTACCAGCTGGGCTGCCCGGGTCACCTTGTTTGCCCGGGTGGCTGGGCCGTGCAAGGGCCAAAGAAGGTCCCAGCAGAAAAAAAAAAAAAAAAAAAAAAAAAAAAATAAATGTTATGCAAAAAAATAAAATTGAACAACTTTTGCCTCAGGGTCACATGACACATCGAAATTCTTTACCGATTGTAAAAAAAAAAAAAAAAAAAAAAAAAAAAAAAGTTACCAGGTTGGACATAGAAGCATGCCCGGCCCACGTAGAGCTGAACCGACCAACCGCTGCTTGGCTTGCCATCATCCAGGTCGCCCGGTGTCTCAAAGTTGTGGCCCAGGTCGCGAAACAAGGGGGCATGCTGTTGTAATTGAGGCAAGCAGGGGCTGTGGTGTTTCACAGTTCTACTGCCAATTCGCCAGCGTGATGATCGCCGTGCATGGGACATGTGAAGAGAGTGCAGGGAGTGGCTGACTTTGGAGTGCCTATGAAACAAAACGGAAGTTGCGGCCAACCTAAACCATCGCACTTTTAATCCACTGTTTCACATGAGCGCCTGGATTGCTTTTTACCTCGTGGCTGCAGATAGCGGCAGTCCAACCATGCAAGTCACCGTAATCCCCCGTCAGCATCAGGGAAGCTGGTGGTTTAAGCAAAGGTCATATTTGTCATGTTCATCCTCTAGGCAAATTCTACATCCTCTGCAGTGCACACATCTTATCGTTGATAAACGGTCTAAAGAGTTTGCCCTGATGAACAGCATAAGGTGATACCCACATTAAAAAAAAGAGGAAAATAAATAGGTCATTAGACTCATTACTAATTACTAATTACTAATTACTAATTACTAATTACCAGTAATTACTAATTTGGTAATGATTTAAAATAAATAAAGCAATTGTAATCACCTAGGCTACCAGAGTAGCTCAGGCCCACTTTCCCAGCTTGGCTTAAGATTTTTTTTTATTTTTTTTTTTCCCATTTCTCAATTTATGTGTGTCATCCTTGTGCAGGGGACATGCTAATCTTCTCTGTGCCGTTCCACTTTTAACGGATGTTAGCTTTTATTTTTAATATGGTAAGGAATTTCAAATTGACCCCGAGGCAAAAGCTGTTCGGTTTATTTTTCTTCATAACATAGTTGCCCCTGGACCCTGGGGAACGGAGGTGGAGTAGGGGTAACACGGGGGCCCAAAGAAGGGGGAGGACCCCGAAGGAGATGCAGCTAGCCAACCTGAAGGCGCAATCAGCGTATAGGATGTTGAGGACCAGGAGATGCCTTCAGGATGTGATGGAAAGACAGGTGGCACTGCCAACTAAACGTGGATAAGCGTCTGCTAAGACCTATTGGGTGGTTCCAGGAATACAAGTTGAGACCACCCAAAATTTTGTCGCTGCAGTGGCAAATAGCTCACCGCTGTCACCGCTGCCTACCCGCCAATGAATGGCTGATTGACCACACCCAGCTGGAGCAGCAAGGGAACGCTCTGCCATGGTGCCATAGGTGTATGGCCAGTTTCCCCCCGCGGAAGAGATCTGAGACGGTAGAGCACATCTTCATGCAGTGTCCTTTGTCAGTGCTGCTATGGCGGTGGTGGGATAGGATTTGGCAGCAGATGTTTCCCAGACTCACCATGGTGGTGGGACTGGAGGGAGATCTTATTGGAGACTGACTGCCCATACTTTCCGAAAAGTGAGTGTGTGGGGAACCTCGTCCGCCTGGGAAGAAGATCTATACTATGGTTGATTTGGAGGAGGAGGTGTGTCCTGGAAATGGAGGGACCCAGAGTGGAGGAGGGGGAGGTAACAGAACAGCTCAAACAGCTGGTGCAGACTGAGATTTACTGTCCACTGGCAGGCAGCATGGGCGAGATTGGACAGTGTGCACTCCAGGGGAGACGCTGATCAAATTATGTCCCGGTTTTGTGAAGAATGGCTTGGAGGGAAGAGGGGGGGATAAATAGCCAAGGTGACATGGTCGGAGGATTTGCAGAGGGAACAACGCACGCCAGAGGAGGAGGATCATTGGATGGACATGAAGCGGGACTACAGGCTGCAGTTTCAAGATTGGACGGCCATTGAACCGGGGATCCCACTCAGACCGGCACAGGACTTTGACGACCCCTTCCCCCCCCACCCCGGCTGTCATTGGTGGAAATCCTGCAGGGAGGGGACTAGCCGGGTGATTGGCTGAAGAAGGGGGAGGGGACACAGATACAATGCAGAGACAACCGCCCTCAAAGGTCCTACAGTGCACCAGCATCTCCCAATACATTGGTTGATAAGGGGGGAGGCGGGGGGGGGTCGCTTCAACGCCGTGGGCCCAGTGCCCCCCGGGCCCAAGGCGTTGGCTCTCCTCCGGGCTGCCCCCGACCCTGCTCATTCAATCTCCTGTTGCTCAGGGTAATCAATGCTGGCAGGGTTATGTCCTTCACACTGAGTATCAGTTTTTGGATCCTCGATTTTGTATCAAGGGACGCTGGACCCAGTTTTCGGCAGGTGATGCTCCTCACCAATAGATGGAGCAGCCCGTCAGGCAAAGCCTCAATTCCGGTGGGTTCCCTTACCACCACCGGGATAGAGGTGTTGCACAAGGGCTTTTCAGAAAAAAAAAAGGGGGGGGCAAAAGTTGTTCGGTTTATTTTTCTGCATAATATAGTTTCTCTTAGACTTTCTGGATTTCCCTTTTTTCTTTTTTTTTTTTGGCAGGCACCTTCCCTGGCCTGTGCCTGGCCGGGCCGCCCAGGCAACCAACGTGAGCCAGGCATCCCTGTTCATAGCCCAGGTAATCACGATAATGATATCTGTAATGACCCGCCAAAAACACAGACTGAGAACACTGCTGATTTCTGGGATTTGCCGCTGGAATGAATGCCTTGCTGAGATTCCCGCATTCTGTTGTGGTTTCCATGTCTGTGTGTGTGTGCGTGCCTGCTGGTTTGCATGCCTGTCTGAGTGCTGGTCGGCTGAGTGTGTGTGTGACCCGCAAGGGTACTTGTTGGTTGAAACGCCCCGCAGGGCCGGTACTTACCTGTGGCCATGACTTTGAGGGTTGCAGCGGGGAAAAACACTCCGGGGGTAGGCCCGCGACACTTAGAGCAGCGGGAAAAATAAAAACACTCGAGTAGCAGGTAGGCCGGTACCACTCAAGTAGTGGTAGAAGTGTCGGGTACTGGAGGCCGAGCAGGAGAAGACAAAAAGTCGGCATTTTTAGAGGCCCAGTAGCGGTAGGTTAGAGGTAGGCCGGTACCAGTCCAAGTAGCCCGGGTCTAGGGCCTGTCCGGAAGATAGCAGAGCCTGCAATGATGTTTCCCTCCGAAAGGGAGAGGTACCGGTTGCTGGGAGGCCGCTCGGCCTAGGAAGTCACCGCCCAAGAGGCCAGTAGGCTGCTATATCTTCCGGAGGAGCAAGTAGCTACTCCTCATTTGCGGTATGCAAGGATTGGCGACGTGCTGCTGAGCCAAGCGCTGGACTGGTGCAGCGCTGCCTGGAGGTGAAGGGCAGCTGGGCGCTCAGCCTGGCTATGGCGAACAGCCCAGCCTAAGGAGGAGGAAGAAGGGGGCGAAGGAGGAGAGTGGCGAGGCACCTACCTGGCTATGGTGGACACCATCTTCATCACCTTGTTGGGCGCTGCACCTGGAAGGCCCCAGTTGGGGTAGTGCCGCACCAAGGAAGCTCGAGGCAGAGTCAGGCATGGTGGCTTAGTCAGCAGCGGCATAGCTTCTTTGGGTTGGCCTTTGGACAGAAGTGCTGTGCCATAGCTGCTTGTGTTGTCCTGTGCACAGAGAGGGGCAGAGCCCTCAGTTGTCTGCCATAGCCTAGGCTTGTGAGAAGTGGAAGAAGGGGGGAAGCCATAGCTATGGTGGACCTGTTGTGGTTGTTGTTGTGTCAGCAGTAAGAGGGAACTTTGGATATTAGAGGGAACTTTGGATATTGATTCTGGTTCATCCACTCATTGTTATTATTATTATTGGGAAGAAGAATAAGATTGGAGAAGTTAAGGAGGAGGAGGAAGGTGGAGAGAGAAGGGGGATTTGTCATTGGTCTTGCTGGTGTACATCTTCTTCTTCTTCTTCTTTCTTTCTTCTCTGGTCTCTTATCTCTTTGCAAGTGCTTTCATTTCTTTTGCAATTGGGTGGCATTGTCTTTCATTGTGAATTTGCACTTTGGGAATGACCAGGATCGTAACATATCCTTATAGCCTTTTTTATAGCGGCATTGTGCAGTCCCAGATATATTCAAATAATAGCGAGTATGAGAAACATTACTTGCAAGTGCATACTGGGCACGCATCAGTGTGTACAGGGTGCATTGCCGCACTGCGCACATGCAGGGCACTGCTACACAACCACAGAGAGCAGCACTCAGCGCACCAAGGAACATCCAGAAAGAATAGACGTGATGCAAAACAGTATTCTTTTAGCTGATACACTTCCACAGACTCGTATTCTTTGAATTGAAAAAAAAAAACTTATTAAAATTTAAAACTTTATTAAGCTAAGAATCGAAACTGAAAACACCTCTTAACCTCTCTTTTCTGTTCTTCTTTTTTTTTTGGGGCTCGCAGCCTCACGCCAAAAATCTAGTTTTTCCAAACCGAGCTCAGCACGTGTGTGAGTAGCGCACATGTGCAGTTCCAATGATGATGAGAGGCCCAAGCCAAAGCTAAACAGGCTACATGAAGTGCAACAGAGCAAGCAAGTGCAGTGTAATCTGACACGTAGGCAAGTCAGAGATTCGCTCACCAGCAGCCCAAAGGATACTAGGCACCCAACACCCTTTAAGACCTCCACGAGCTTGCTGACCGGGGACCCAATCAAACCATCAGGCACAGGTCTTGGAGGACCTTCCATATGTTCTGGTGCCACAAGGTACTCGGTCGTATAGTTTGGTCCATATGCTCCCCATGCTGTTACGCGGTACTTGTACGTGGTCCCTGACTGAACATTTTCATCCAAGAAAGCCATCTCACTTTCTTGGTCTGCCAATTCACCAAGGATCTCCCATGCCAGCTTTTGAGCATTTAACTTCTCCACAACATACTTGTGGACCCGAGGGGTTCCTGCCTTCTCCGGTCGGTTCCACTTGAGAACAATCCCGCCGCATCGCCCCGGTTCCGACCGCAACTTCGCGGGCTGACCCGGTGCCTCACCGATTCCAAGCATCTTTATCATGATCCCAACCGTGATGCGCTTCGCATGGAGAGAACTTGTGACCCCAAGTTCCTCCTGCAATACCTTGGGGTCTTTCCATAAGAAAGGAAACATCAACCCATCAATTGATTTGTCTCTAAAGGCGTTGGCGTACTGGGGGAGGCCAAGACCATGCGCCACCCAATCAGCAACATGTTGCGCCGTAAGCATATCGCGCAAGTAAGTCTGCATTTATGACACAAAACCGCGCAAACATGAAATCACATAACCACCAACCTCAGAAAACGGCAATCGACAGAATGCGAACCTTCTGGGAGCGACACCGACAAACCTTAGTTACCATTGAGAACAGCTTCGAAGAGTTGTGAAAACACACTGAGAGGACAGAAGGCAGTTGCTTATCATGAAAGGCTCTGTTGGAAGAACGAGGGAAGCAGCGCATGCATGGGGCGAAAGAGTACAGACAAAGGTGAGGCAAGGTCGCCACTGAGTACAGCAAGGTATCAGAAGAGGAGTATTATGTAATTTGTAAGGACAGCAGCCAGATGAGGAGGTGACTGTGGTGAGGCTGATGGATACCACATGGAAGAGAGAGAGGACGAGGGTCAGAGCAATGGACTGAGAAGAGGAGAGGTAACAAATTCAAAAGAAGAGAGTTATTCGACAGGCTTGGAAAGCGGTGCGGTGTGTTTCTTTGCTTTTTGAAAAGAGGTTAGAACGTAGGATAGGGCAGTTGGGCACACAGAAGAGAGAAATGGGTACGTTCACTCGTTTTGGCAGAAGATCCATACTGGCCACACAGTCAGATCATGACTCCTCCTCCTCCTCCTCCTCCTCCTCCTCCTCCTCAGACTACCACTCATCTGTGTCCTTATCGCCCTCCTTATCCTCCTCCGCTTTCGACATCTCACTCCCAATATACCATTGATTCGCAAACACATGCTTGTAACCTTACCCCACTATGTCCCCACAGGCCCTCTACGCATGCAAACAAAGCAACCACAATGCTTGTCCATCAAATCACAGCATGGGCATGACGTCGATTGACAAAGGCTGTCGCATATCCGTCTTCAGAGAGGTATAGCACAGACCCAAGAATCACCAGAGCGGAGAGAAATAACAGTACTATGCAGAGGAAATCAGAGATCAACCAATCGCACCCGTGCAAAACATGCACTCATCAACAGCACAGAGGGCAACATATATAGAAGAGAGGTCCCCCCTCACACAATCAAGGGGACTAACTATGGGTGACAAGAGGACGGGGAGGGCGGAGAAGAAGAGGAAAAAGAAGGAGAAGAAGAAGCGAGCCCCACGTGAAACAAGCTGAAATGAT